GTCACAGTGTGAGATGGTCAGGGTTAAAGGTGATGGGAAGAAAAAGAATATAAATGAATTTGGCTAGATTGGAAAAATATTCTTTCAAAAATAAATAAACAATAAATAAATAAAAAAATAAAACGAATATTCTTTCAAACATTTTGAAACAACCAGCGTCTCTCATTTCGTGCGCATGTGTAGATGTGGCAACATCAACAAAGCCCAGTCCGATGAAATCCTAACGGTTTAAACGCGCCATAAAAACTTTTTTCCAATTCGTCATAATATATTTATAAATACATATACATTATATATATATTATTATTATTGTTGCAATTATTATTTAATATATGTAAGAAATAATATTAATAATACGTACAAATATTTGATACATGTTTTCTGGTGCGGTCGAGATCCGAGTAACCGTTTTACACATGACGCCACTTTGGACAAATTGAATGCCAGCGTTAAAAAATTCAGCCCCCGCCCAAATCTTGTCTACCACACCTAGTTCTTGATAATGACTAAGACGATCGAAAGTATTTGAAATAAAAACAGAACAAAATATGAACCGCGAACCATTTATCGATTATTTCGATCAGGTTTTAAAACATAAACCATTAAAACATTAAAAAGATAAAATATTAAGCAGACGGAAAAAAAACCTTTAACAAAGCTTGTGTGTGTGTGTATATATATATATATATATATATATATATATATATATATATATATATATATATAGAGAGAGAGAGAGAGAGAGAGAGAGAGAGAGAGAAAATAAATTTCACTAGACTTTCACAGACAGATATCCGCGCATCAGGGGTAAGATAAGTTTATGTACTTTATTAACAAATATCTGTTTTAGGATATGTTACAAAAAGAGAATTAAAATATATTTAAAAATATATACTATATACGTTAATAAATTTAATTTATATTAATCTCGACGTGCGGAGTTGGAAGATTACTTATTGAACCTTTAATAAAACAGGGTTAAGGGCGTTGGATCTTGGGCCTTTGCTCTCCACAAGATATACCATCTGTAGTATTTTTTTCCACGGTTTTATTTTAACAAAATACAGTAAAGAAAGAAATACAAGAAAGACAAAAACTATCAAATCAGTGAGGTACTGGGAATTTTCAATTTATTTGCCGTTAACCATGTATTCGGCCTTTAATAACTCAAAACTAAAATTTACCCCAGCCCCCACAACATTTGTCTCTGCTGGGGTATTTATCTAAAAACTATTCATGTTTAATTTTTAACATATTTTTCTTTTCAAAGTCTTCTCGATTTAAACACGTTATTTCCCAGTAATTTACTGGTCGATGAGATTTGTTAGATGTAAGCAAACTTACTTACTTACTTGATTTATATATATATATATATATATATATATATATATATATATAAAAGTGAACATAGAAATCAACACTTAGAGACGACAGGCTGTTCCATGCTGGACGCAATCATCCTGGCCTGACGATTACATCTAGCATGAAACAGCCTGTCGCCTCTAAGTGTTGACTTCAATGTTCACTTTTATATTTACACACGCTCTATCTCTGATATTGAGCACTTTATCCCATAAATATAGCACACCTTAAGAGTATATTTCTTCATATATATATATGTGTGTGTGTGTGAGAGAGAGAGAGAGAGAGAGAGAGAGCGATGACAGTCTGTTTCGTAGCAGAACGCCAGTGATAACCGTTTCTTGAACGTAATCTTCAGGCCTATTTCCACTTCCATATTTATATACGCTCTATCTCTGATATTGAGCACTTTTTCTTTATATATATATATATATATATATATATATATATATACTCTTAAGGTGTGTTATATTTATGGGATAAAGTGCTCAATATCAGAGATAGAGTTTATGTAAATAAAAGTGAACATTGGTCAACACTTGAGGCGATAGGCTGTTTCAGGCTAGACGCAATCTACCAACCTGACGATTGCATCCAGCATCAAACAGCCTGTCGCCTCCAAGTCTTGACTTCAATGTTCACTTTTATATATATATACAAACACAATATATATATATATATATATATATATATATATATATATATATATATATATACACACATGCATGCATGTGTATAAAATCTTTAAAAAATATCAAGAATTAAGAGCGATTTAAAACTCAGAGACCAGCTACTATGGTTTCCTCGTTAATGACTTTTCGGGCTTTCCCAGAAAATAATCTATAATGTCAAAATATCGCAATTATACTGTGGGCTGTCAGAAATTGGCATATAGTAATCATTTATATAAATGTATATCCAAATATTTTCATTCGGCCAGGTTTGAAATACGCGAATAGTTATTTTCGTGAAACTAACGAAGGAATATAGTAAAATAGCACACTGCGAATGGGTATTAAGCACTTTTGTTTGTAAGTGCTATTTTACTATATTCCTTTGGTAGATGTTTTTGTTTTTATATATATATATATATATATATATATATATATATATATATATATAAAATCACACTGTTCAAAGTATTTTGCAATGAGAATTGCTTAATAGATAATGTACTTTATAAGGTGACTTTTGAATCTCAAGGTTCTCCAGAACAAATTTTATATTCGTTCTACGGAGAAACCATTTAAACAAGCTTTCTGTAATCACAAGATATCGGACTTTATTGTAGAAATATATATATATATATATATATATATATATATATATATATATATGAGAGGGAGAGGAAGTATTTACTCCTGTCATAATGTTAGGTCTGACCGGTTCAAAAAGACCAAATTGGAGGGTGATTTAAAAAATGACCGGCAATCTGTTGTTAAATGGAGCAAGAAATGGCTTGTTAATTTTAATGCATCCAAAACAAAACTGCTCTCTTGTAATCGTCTGAGAGAACCCATTTTACTTTCTGTCAGTATGGCTGACCTCCAGGAGAGTGACTCATTGCAACTTCTTGGGTTAACGTTTTCAGCTGACATGAAGTGTAAATATTATATTGAATCAATTTCTAGGTCTGCTGCTAGGTTCACTCTGTCGTGCTAGACTGTTTTTTTCTCGGGAGAATCTATCTTACACATTTATAAGTTTACCATTCGTCCATGCGTTGAATATTTCTGTCGCATTTGGTCTTGTGCTACTGCAGTATATTCAGAAATTCTTGACAAAATATGAAGAAGAATCTGCAATGTTATTGGTCCAAACCTCGCATCTTGGCATCAGTCATTTTCCCACCGCTGTAACGTAGCTTCCGTGTGACTTTTTTGTAAATATTGTCATGGCAATTGTTCTGATGGGCTTTAATTTTTGGAACCTAGAATTTTAGTGTCAAACTATATTGGCGGTATGATGTCATCCTCTTTTCAGTTGAAATGGCTAGATGTGGTCATAACTTTTATGTTAACAGTTTCTTCTCTCGCACTTATCGATTGTGGAACTTGCTTCCGGCTTCTTGCTTTCCAGTCAGCTTTGATCTTCAAAAATCTAAATACAATGTCAATCGTTATCTTATGTCTTCTTAATTCCTGTTCTTTTATTTTTCTCGCTCCTTGATAATGTTTTCCTTTTCTTGGTTTTATTGCCTTGCTTGGTGTAGAATGATTAAATGTTTCACTTGGCTTCAGTTTTCATTGTTTCCCAGTTTAAAATAAGACTAAAAAAGATGGTTAATCGGCACACATTAATCAAGCATGAAAAAAGTCTACAATGAACGGTCATCTGAAAAGTGACGTATAATAGCAAAATACCTAAATTTACAATACCAAATGATAGCGTACAGACACACACACACACACACATACACAGGCACTTCCTTAAATCAAACTTAAGTTTACCAATTTATGAATCTTAGTACATCCGAAATTTTATAGGGTACAGTCTACATAGTACTATTTACATATTAACATAAACATAGCGAAGAAAACTGATATTACTCGCTATTGGCGAAAGTATTGTTTCGTGGGGTAAATATTTAAAAATGACAAAAGTTATTAAAAGAATTATTAAAAGAATATTATAGATAATAAAAAATAAGAATCAAAATGGTAATAAAAAATGAAGACATTTTCGATATTATAACCATTAAAAGGCACTTATTTCTTTCTCACGCTGCTCATATCTTTCTAAGTTTGTTTATGTCCCACTCTGTCAATATCTATCTATCTATCTATCTATCTAATTCTATTCGTATCTATCTATCTATTTCTATTCCTATCTATCTATCTATCTATCTATCTATCTATCTATCTATCTATCTATCTATCTAATTCTGTTCGTATCTATCTAATTCTATTCGTATCTATCTATCTATTTCTATTCGTATCTAATTCTGTTCGTATCTATCTATTTATCTATCTATCTAATTCTATTCGTATCTAATTCTGTTCGTATCTATCTATCTATCTATCTATCTATCTATCTATCTATCTATCTATCTAATTCTATTCGTATCTAATTCTGTTCGTATCTATCTATCTATCTATCTATCTATCTATCTAATTCTATTCGTATCTAATTCTGTTCGTATCTATCTATCTATCTATCTATCTATCTATCTATCTATCTATCTAATTCTATTCGTATCTAATTCTATTCGTATCTAATTCTGTTCGTATCTATCTATCTATCTAATTCTATTCGTATCTAATTCTGTTCGTATCTATCTATCTATCTAATTCTATTCGTATCTAATTCTGTTCGTATCTATCTATCTATCTATCTATCTATCTATCTATCTATCTATCTATCTATCTAATTCTATTCGTATCTAATTCTGTTCGTATCTATCTATCTATCTATCTATCTATCTATCTATCTATCTATCTATCTATCTATCTATCTATCCAACATTGTTAATATGATAGAAACTGAAAGTTCCATTTGGAATGCTTTTTCCAAGAACTGCCACTTTGTGGAACAAATTCCCGCGTGGGTGCTTTCCTGAACTTTTCAATCTTGATCTCTTCAAGTTAAAGGTCAGTCATCATCTTTCCTCTTTGTCCTCACAATCATTATGGGCTTACTGCCATATCATCACATTCAAACATCGGTTCTCGTACGATCACCGAAGTTAAGGAACGTCGAGCCTGGTCCGTACCTAGATGGGTGACCGTTTGAGATTACCAGTTGCTTTAAGCTTGGATGTGCAGGTGGTGTAATAGATAACGGCTCGAAATTGGAAATCGCGGAGACGAGTTCCATTTCCAGTCAGGTTCATTATATTTACTTACGAGCAAATATTCTTGGGAAAGGCATGAATCCACTTCTCCCTCGCAGCTATAGGTTAATTAGTAGGATTTGTATGTATCGGTAAATCGTTATTATCTTAAACAATTCTTACAATCTAAAAATATTTTCTGGATTTAAATAACCTGCAAAAGTTTGATAAGCCGTAAAAAACAAATGAATCCAATCAATAATCTTTGTTTCCTACTACCTTTTCTTAATATAACACACCTCATTCAGCATTACAAATTCGACTGTAATCTTCTAGACTGAGTGGCACTCGAGCCTTGTATTAGTTGAAATTTTATATGTAAATAATAAATGAATAACATGCAACATCTCAAGCATGATAATAGAAGCACTGCAACACCAATTCTTAAAAATACAACTAAAATTAAGTGCCACTTCAGTAACACACACACACACACACGAGTTTCATGGATTTTTTTACATTAAATCCTCAGCAGATTTTGGGGGCGAACTTGGATTATATTTTTCTTTCTTTTTTTCGCTATAAAACATTTTTATAATGATGATGATGATGATGATGATCTTCTTCTTCTTCTTCTTCGTGCCATGTTGCTTCAGGACGTGGGCGATCATGTCTCTCTACAATTTCCCGTCCTTTGTAGCTCTTAGTAAGTATTGCCTTTCTGCTATCTCTCCTAATTCTTGTTCTGTCAAGATCGTTAGGTAGGCTATTTGTTGCTTTCCTCTGTCCTTCTTGCCTTCAATATGTATTGTGAGCATCAAATTTGTCAAGCCCTCTTTCCTCATTACGTGCCTACAAATTTCAATTGTCTCTTTCTGATTCTAAATAAAAGTATTCATTTTGTTTCCATTTTCTTTAAAACTTCTTGGTTGCTCACAAGTTCAGTCCACGGTATTCTCAGCATCCTTCTGTAGAACTACGTTTCTGTTACTTCAAGTTTCTTCTTCATCTGTGAGGAGATTGCCCAGCATTCGCTGACATATAGGAGGACCTATATTACATAACCACTCAGCACTCTTTCCCTGGCTTCTAACGAAATTTTCCTGCTTCTTAATACCTTGCTAAGTGTTTGAAAGGCATGTTTCGCTATCCCAATGCGTCTTCGGATTTTGGTGTCGCATTTTCCGTTTAGGTTTAAAATTAGGTACCGACACTAGATCGCCGGAAAATGAGCATAGCAGAATAATAAAGGCCTTAAACTTGATGAAGACAAAATTTTATCGTCAAAATGTTTATTTTTTCATTAAGAGGAAAGAACAAAGTAATTTTTAATTATTTATCAAAATTTTTCTGTTTTTATTAGAGCATTCTAACTTTCGATTGAAAATCTCGTTTCTCACCGTCAGTATTGTGTTAGATAAAGTTTTAATTTGTTCAGTTATAATTAAATCATGTATTATATAAAAGTTAAATATTAATGGAATAGCGATTTTCTTTTTTAGTTTTGTTATTTAATTTTAACACACACATACATGTGTGTGTGTGTGTGTGTGCGCGCGCACGCGCGTGCGTGTGTGTGTGTGCGTGTGTGTGTGTGTGTGTGTGAAACCGGTGTTCTTCATGCTTCCCTACCAAGACAGCATGAAGGAGCGTGCTGATTTCTCTTACAACAAAATGCTGTCATGAACTTAGATATAAACGAGCCTTCATCCACATTTATTCAACAAATATCGAATCTTCATCATAATCTTCATTCTCGTAAATGCACTTAATTCAGCCGTGAATATTAATCATTGTACAGAGAAAATTCTATTTCAAACTAACAACAACGAGTCAGTCAACAGAACAACAGAGGCACCATCGTATATACAGACATAAATCGGGCACCCCGAGGCGGTGTAATGGTTAGCAAGCTTGTCTCGCTAGAACAATTACAACTGAGTCGTGAGTTCGATCCTCGCTAGGTACCCCATACTTTTCCTTGTGCCACATCTAAGCTACGCTTGGAAAATCTCTATATACAGAGATAAATCAATAAGTCTGTAGCCTAATATTGAAAGAAAATGAGAGTTTGAGAATAGAAACGGTGAGATAGTTTGTATTCTCTTCGCACTAATGCCCTTAAGAAAGGCATGAATTCAGTTTTTCCCTAGCTATAAATACATAATGTGTAGATGAAGTCCTTTAGTTTTGTAAGGCAGTTCATCGTGTTTGTCAATCTAGCACCCTGCTCCGTAAATCTGTAGTACAGTTGCTACAAACAATTATTGGGTTTCCATAGATCGTTCGAGAAATATCGTGCGATTCGAGAAGCTCGATGAAAATAAAAGCAAATATTTACTTTTCAACCTAATCTCCTTCCTTGTCAATGCACTTAATTACGTAGTGAATATTATTAACGCAAGACAAACATTATGTAGCGAACATCTTAGATCAAAATTCAACTTATAATTACGTCTCAGGCCACAGAATGAGTTAAATCACCTTCGTTCCAGGAATCTACACAAATTTCTACTGTTAAGAGGTTGGCCATCGACAAGGATTCTGAGAGTGTGCTTTTAGAAACTTCTATTTTTCTTCGAGTTGCTATGTCTTTTTCACAATATAGTATTCCTTTATCTCGGCTTTGCTCAAATCATTCTTACAATGAATAATTTGTAACCTTCTCCTAAACTCTGAAAAAGAACAAATATCTTAAAGTATTTTATTTTTTAACAATTCCATCTGTGATTCTTTTTAAAACGTTTAACAGGTTCAGTTTTCCCCACTTAAAAGTTAACTTTCGGAATATATTTATAAATTATTACCGTGTCATATACATATCATAAAAATTGATTTTTATTTTTTCATTCATCTTTTTTGCCTATTAAAATAGCCTGACTCCAAGAAAATAATTTACCACGCTCACTTCGTGAAAATGATGTCAACTAATTATAGTATGCAAATTCTTACTTGTGGTTCGGTTAACTTAAAGGCAGCTCCTCCATTGAAAAGGTTCGTGACGAGTCAGATATTGGTCTTATTTTTTTTTTTTTATTATATGCGAGTAATACCATGCAGTTTATGGGTTTTGAAAAGGCAGGAATAGAAAAGGAATTTTAAATATTATGAAAGAGATTGCTGCATCAAAAATATAAATTTAAAAGTTAAATTAATTAAATTTTAACACAATTTCGTTCGTTTTTTAAATAAAGAATCTGCACACAATTAAAATTAGATTTTCTTCATAGAAATCAAAATAAAAAACAAACATTTCACTACAAAAATTCTATTTTTCTCTTTTTTAATTGATAATCAAATTTAACTTAAAGAAAACAGTAACGTTTAGTTGATATTTATAGACTTATATTGCTATATATAAACATACGCACACACATATCTGAGGTATCTATGAGGTATATATATGTGCATGAGGATATATATATATATATATATATATATATATATATATGTATGAGGTAAATATATGCGTATGTGTTATATATAGATGGATATAGAGAATATACATATATATATAGTATATATACAGAGTATATATAATGTGTGTGTATATATATATATATATATATATATATATGTATATATACATATATATATATATATATATATATAAATATATATACAAATATATAGCATATGTATAGTATACACACGCATACGTATATATATATATATATATATATATGTATATACGTGTGTGTGTGTATACTATACATATATATATATATGTATATATATATACGTATATATATATATATATATATATATATATATATATATATATATATATACACACACATTGTGTATACTATACATATGCTATATATATACTATATATGTATAGTATACACACGCATACGTATATATATATATATATATATATATATATACACGTGTGTGTGTATACTATACATATGCTATATATTTGTATACTATATTTATATATAGAGATATGTATACTATATATATATATATATATATATATTATATACAGGGTGCGATGGTTATATTGTCGACATTTTATATTTTTAATTTCGCGCAGGCGCATGGTTTATTTTTGATTATACAGCACAATATTGTTGAGTCAGTTGGGCACCGTCTGTGAGAAAAAGAGCAACATAACACAATTTCAAACCACCAGAAATTTGGAAACGGCATGTTGTACTGCTTGGCATTTGCGCCGGAAGCTATATTACGAATATATGTGTGTGTGGATGTCAATCTGAGGGCAGTACAAAGGATTCAGAAAGAGTTAGATTATATATCCAGTCAATATGATGATGTGTTTTGAGTGATCACTAGTGATGGCGACGTTATGTCTTCATTCATATTTGCACAAAGCCTCAGACTCAATACGGAAGCCTACATCAAGTGCCTTGAGGAAGTAAGACTGGTCTGGATCAAGAGGATGCCTTCTGGAAGACCCATCTGCACCATGCCAGACAAACAGGAGAAACCAGTCATGGCTGTCAGACAATTTCTAGGACCACATCAGCCATTACATCTGGCCACCTAACTCCATAGACTGCAAACCCCCTCGATTATTATGTGTGGTGAAGGCAAGGATTATGACAGCATTCACCAATTTAAACAAGGAGAGCCTCCAGAAGAGTTGCAGGAGATTCCGAAGTCATCTGGAGGTCGTGGTTAACAACAATGGTGATTTTATTGAATAAATTTACTCTTTAGTATTTCAACATATTTTTGTGTAATTTTGGTAAATATATCTGTTAAAATAAGATGTCAATGTTATTTTCATTTTTGTGTAATTTAGACAATTTATCCATCGCAACCTGTATATATATATATATATATATATATATATACATCTATATATATTGTACATATATGTATATATATATATATATAAGTACAATATATATATATACATATCTATATATATTGTACATATATGTGTATATATATATATATAAGTACAATATATATATATACATATCTATATATATTGTACAT